AAGTAGTTGGGTGGTAGTGAGGCAACATAGTGTTTAGGAAAGCTAGGGAAAAGTGCAGAGCAGCAGTCAAGGCAATGTCCAGCTGTGCAGATGAGTAGCTGAATGGTGTCCAGGGATTTAAGGTATTGTATTGGGCAGAAAAGATCTGGGTAATTAACATATAGATATCTACAGCTGCCTGGATGAAGGGTGGTACTGGAGTTACAGATGCTGGGGAAGGCATTGTCATGGTCTTGTGCCTAATAATCATGAAAGAAGGTAGGTGAAGCAGGGAAAAGGGTAAGTTTAACTAAGTTGCCCTTGAGCTGGCAGCTGAGCATCTGTGAAGAGATTGGTAAGAGCTTGCATGGGAGGTGCATCTCATGAACAGAAGTTGATCTGAGAATGATGGGGACAGAGAAAGAAGCTGAATTTGTCTTCTGAGCAGATGCAGAAGAGAGAAAAGTATTGTCATGGACTGAGCCTCCCAGACTGCTGGAGAAGGTTGGAGGGGTTGCAAAGGCCGTTCTTCAAATGAAAAGCAGAGACATGAGGCATTGTGTCCAAGAAGCATGAAAAAAGGGACGCTCTGGGTTTCTTTGGGGGAATAAACTATTCTAAGAATTGTAGATATTGAGCATGGCTGTATTTTTATGGGGGAGTGAAAGGAGATAATACAAGGGAGAAGGGTAGGAATATAGCATGATGACAATCAGGAAAAAAGTTTGAGGGAGAAGGTAGTGAAATTGTGTCTGTGATGGGGTTCCTATGAAGGGCAAATAGAAGATAGGCTGTCTTGTGACTGTCTCTTGGAAGAAATAGCAAGAGGTGAGCAGGGGACTCAGCAGAACACAAAATCCTGCACTTCTCACCAACTTCATCACTGGGATGGAGCAGAGCTGCTTTGGGGCAGGCGGTTGAAGGGGAGAAGAGAGAACTTGTTGCAGAGAACATCTGCTTGGTTGGTGGCATCTTGCCGCTAGCGACAATCGCTGTGAGACTGGGAGCAGGGCAAGAGTGTGCAGGGTGAGCTGGGTAAGATGTGGCTGGCGGAGAAAGAGGGAACAAAGAAACACAGACATGAACGTGACAGCAGAACTCTGAAGTCCCGGATGAAGTCAGCCAGCACAAAACCATTTACATTCAGCCTTCCCTCCTCATCTGTCTTGGCCTCTGCTCCTTCTTACTGACAAAGAGCGCTGATCAGGTCTTCCCCATTTTAAAAATCTCACAGATAAGCAGAAATTGTAGTCTATGCAAGGATGAAAGTGTTTGTTTTTCTTTCTGTTCCTGATACTTACTTCATGGGAGAAGTAGGTGGCTAATGTAATTCATGTTTATTGCTAAACGTTGCTCTTTGATGCTTGCTTATTACAATAGCCTGAACTCAAAGCCAGCAATAAACTAGAGGGATGGCACCTCATAAACACAGGGCTTCGTTTTTGACCTTGTAAACTTTTTGAAACTTTAAAGAAAAAAAAGTCGGTCTCTTGCTTGCAAATAACTTTCATTTCACAAAATAGCAGCCCTCCAACTAAACAAACCTCAAAATCCTGTTCCTTCCTCTCCTCTGACCTCTGGTCCCCCCCCAGCCAGAAAAAAAAAGCACAGTTGATTGCTCTTGGTCAGCCTGTGTAAGTTTTGGTCAGCTAGCTGTGACTTTCTTCTTCTTTAACACAACTTTTATCAGAACACTTTGTTTCTTCTTTTTTTTCTAATTTTTCTTGGCATCTGTTTTTGCTCAGGGTTCCTGCTTGATGTATAGCATTTTGTTGGGTGCTTTTTGTTATCTAGCTGCAGAGAGCAAGTATAGTGGCTGGCTGATACTTTGGAGGATCTTGGGACATAGCTTATTCTTTGTGAAGCAAAATGTACAGTTCTTTCTAGGTTTTTTTTTCAGTCACAATTAGCTCTATCAGACTAAATTCTTTTTAGTTCCCTTGGACCCTCCCGTCCTCTGAATTCTGCAATAATAGATGCAGTATTTGCATTAGATAAATAAGTTAGAATAATTTACTTCATTATGGAAAACTAATCTGCTTGTTAAAACTGTTAGTTTATCAAACAGTGTAATACAGTATTGTTCTGGCAGAGACTCTGCTGGCAGACACCAGTCCTTGTGTCTCTTTCTGTGGAGGGATATACTAAAGATGAACTTTGTTTGTAGCTTAGGAAAGCAGATAGTCATCTTGGCTATCTGTCCAAAGCCTTCAGAATTTGTAGTTTCTGGAAGATACGTGGTGGATGTTATCTTGAAATCCTGGCTGAATACAATGCAGAGCACCCAGCTTCCAAGCCGTGCGGTACTGCAAAACCTTTTATTACTGTGATACTCTCTATCAGCCTCATTAGGGATGATGAATGAACGGTCACTGCTGAAGCATTTTTTTTCCCCTCTTCTGAAAAGACCTGTTGACAATGGTTGCTGCCTGTGTATATGCATGGGGTGAATTAATCAGCTAAACTACTACTACAATAATACTAACCTTTAAACAACAAAGCATCATCTGCATTATCTGCTTAAACCTCTTTTGAAGAGACTCTTCCCTCCTCCTACTCCGCAGGATCACCTTCTAGCTCCCTTGCCTTAAAGGGCTGCATCATGCAAAAAGCAGAAGTGAAATCGCTTGCATTTGTTTATCATCGTCCCATTCCTAGGTGAAGGAAACTGTCTCTTGGGCTTTCCTGAGGCTGAACGTGTGAACGACTTCATTTGACTATACAGCGTGCGCATCAGACCTCAGCGCCCCAAGTCTGCGATTGCATCCCTGTGGGTAGACTGTTACCCACGTGTCGCTCCACTGATACGGTCACGTCTGCCGTGCCTGCCGGGGTTAGGCGGGGATGCCTGGCCCTTTCACCAGCCCTCCTCCTCTCATGTGGCAGCTTAAGCTGAACTTTGGGTCATACCAACAAGTAAATAACCACCCTTGCTTCTCTCGTCCTTTCCCATGTCGCTTTCCCGCTGAGTGCAATGCCCCAGCGTGGGAGCTGGCCTGTGCCTCGGCGCGTGTGTTGCGCAGAACGTGACCGATGGGGTCGCCCGGCAGGCTGTGCGGGGACGGTGTCTGGGTGGTTGTGTAGGACGGGTGTTGTACCGGTTGGGGTGAGACTGCACAGCATCCGCTTCCTTGCAAGCACCGTGCATGCTAATGGTCCTGAACGAGTTGTCTGTCCAGTAAACAAGTGGTTACTGGGATTGGCATCCAGATACCCTGGCCTGGTGCTTTTTCAGCTGAAGGAATCCTTTGTTCCTGTTCAGGTGTGCGGAGCAGGAGATGCAGCCCTAAACAAAGCCTACAAAGATCTGGTTCCTGCTCCTGTACTTTACCGTGTAGATGTTAAACTTGTCACTTGAAGGTGGTTTCTTCTTGTTTGAATCTAGGAAACAGAAACCTTTAAGATACTTTTCAAATAAAAAGACTTAGGCTTTCTTTCAGTTTGAAATATGTCAACAGAAGTAAGTTGCCACTTGGATTTTTCTGGAGAGGAGCAGGGGGTGGAGGACAAATGAGGACTGTTTTTCCTCCATTGGAACCAGCTGTGGTTTGTTCGTCTTTTGTGCATTTGGATGGGCACTCTGAATTGAAATGCTAACTGGAACTAGCAGTTAATATTACAAACAAGCAGCACAATTTGACTAAACAAGCTTCCAGATGATCACAACTAGGCTTTGATGCTGAAGAGTGGGATTTTCATGACTGCGGAAGTAATTTGAGAACATGCTTGCACCCAAAGCCAGTAGGGTTGGGTTTTTTTTTTTTTGCTTGAAGATGATTATGGTGATGATTCATACTTTTGTTAGTCTCAGCAAAAGAGTGGCTTGCATGTCTAAGTTGATTTAACATCTGAGAACTTCTAAGCAAGTCATTCTCCATTTTGAGGAAGAATTTATCTATAGATATTCTTGGGATGGTTTTTGGTGTGTGTGTGTGTGTGTGTCCCTTTGTTTGCTTGGTTAGTTGGGGTTTTTTTTGTCTTTGGTTTCTTGCCCTGCTATTGACTGACTTTGCAAATGGGAACTTCCATGCGTTCCCAGTCACAGCTTTCCTTGTTCTTGGATTTGTAGATGTGGTTCCATGCTTTCAGGAGTGAGTTAGTGTGATTTAGAGGTTCAGTTGATGAACAGTAGTTTACTAGTACTATACAATCTGAGTTATGAAATTAAGTGTACAAGAAAGATTATTTAAACTACTTAGTTTAGATGCCTGTTTTTTCACTCTTAATTTCCTGGATTAGAGAGAATCTATTTTTTTTCCTCTGGTTCTTAATAGCATATTTGGTTTCTAATATCAGAAATAAGGTCCATTGAAATATTTTCCTCAGTCACTTTGTGACTTATTTAAAATAACTTCATGGATTTATAGCACTTTCAATTGTCTTGTGCTAAATCACACCCTGTGACAGAAAAATTAAACCCATGAAAGCTAACTTAGAATAAGAACTTTCCTCCTCCTGCGTGGATACCAGGAAATTCAGGGGCATGTAAAGTGAGTGTATTTCCTCATAACAAGCTGTGCGCTCGCATACCACACTTCTTTAAAGGTCTTGTGGTTGGGATCCCAGTGGTATTGATGGGAAACGTGCAAAGAATTTTTATAAGGTTGTTTGAATAGCTGAGTAACTTCTTTTGAAAGCAGTAGAGTGAACACTTCTGCGTTGGAGAAGAATGGTTCTGTGGATGCCTGAGATGATGCTAATGAATGATGGAGCTTCAAAGTTAAATCCTACAAATGCAATTATCCTCTAGAGGATTTAATGTAAACTTAATAGTTAAAAAATACACTTTCTTTTAAGGTGGCACACTTGAGCATATCTATTGTCAAGCAGGGTGGTTGGTAGCCATGGTTGTATTCTAATGTGAGGACCTGAAAGGTCATTTGTAGACTTGAAAGCACCAATATGTGATTATATTCATCACAGAAAGAGAGGGGTGACATATACCATGTTCAAATGCCAAGCTAGAGCATTGGGCTGTGGTGATGTTTCACAGCAGGCACTCTGTTTGTTTTCTCTTGCAGTTTGGGGCAGAGTTCAGAAGGTTCTCCCTGGATCGCTACAAGCCAGGAAAGTTTGAAGACTTCTACAAACTAATTCTTCACATTCATCACATAGCCAACCTGGAAGTGATGATTGGATATGCTGATGTGCATGGAGACCTTCTCCCTATTAATAATGATGACAACTTCTTCAAGGCTGTTTCAAGTGCTCATCCACTGCTCAGGGTTTTTATACAAAGACAAGGTAAGGTGCAGTTTCATTTTGGTGCCTCGAAATGTGCTGGGGCAAGGTGAAGAGTGAATTTGTGGCCCCCATTTAAAGGCTGAAATGATGTAAGAGGGACCTAGGAGGCCCCTTGCTCCTCCTCTCAGGCACTTCGTGACAACTTGCACGAATGGCATGACTTCAGGGCAGGAAGAGGGACTGCATTGCTGCCTGTAAGGTGTTTGAAGGATAACATGCTGAGAATCACAATGAGCCCCTTCTTTTCTGAGGAGAGCATACCTTGTGCTGCTCGTAGTGTCATCACTTGAGCGTGCCAACTGCACCGCTCCACTTATTTGAGGGAGCTGTGAGGAGGGAGGGGATCCTAGTGTTGTACTACTACTTCACATTTAGAAATCTTATCTATCCATCTTGATAGTCAGTGTCATACCCAAATGATTCATGCCTGGATAGTGTGTGAATGCTCACAGCTATGTAGTTATAAAAAAACGTTCTGTCACGAATGAGGTCTTGTCAACATAGTCAAACCTGGCAGACAGACAAATGATGATTCTCCCCTCTGTCCTTACACTAGAGTGTTGAATCTTCCCATTTTGAATCATCAAGTAAACCTTGGGCAGAATTGCCAAAATGTTAAGATGGCATCAGGTTTAAGTGGCTATGTGTTGTTCTTGTCAAGCTTTTATCGTAAATATCTGAAACCTTCTCCTTAAAGACCATGTTTGGCAGTCGCTTCAGATGAGGATTGGTTTTTAGAACAAGGTGTCTTCCCCACAGAGCTCCTTAAATCCCAGGGGTACCTAACACTGTGTTAACACTACCTCCACAGTTTTTTCAGTCATGTAGTGATTATAGCACAGGGCTTTTGGAATTAAAATCTTGTCGGTAGCAGAGTCTTGATCTGAGAGTTGATCTGACACTTTGAGCAGTCATGTAGCTTTTTTGGCCTGGACTCTGCTGTGTGGGCGTTTGTACTGGTAAGGATTTAGCAGGAGGCTCCAGCCTGTTCATTGGTATGAGCTGGTATAGTGTGTGGTTCGATTTGGTGTCATCAGATACATCCAGGGTTGTGTGGCCCTCCCCATTCAGAGCATGTTGTCTGCCACCTTCTTTTAGATGGAAATAAATGCTCAAGGAGGCAATGAAGAAGAGGGTCTGGAGCAATTTGTTTTGTTTGTGTGTCTGTCAGATGAGTGGAAATGTCTGTGGGAGAGGACTTGGGTTGCTAGCTCTCCCTTCTTGTGCAGAAAATGCAAAGGTGGATGACAAGGCCTATTAAGTCTCCTTCCTGCAATGCCTGTTAGGGCTTGCGAATGTTCATGGTGGGTCAGGTCATGAGAAATCGCTTGCATGACTTTGTCATGCCTGCATGAGTTCAAGTTTATTCATGTCTCTGGATCAATCCTGTTCAAAATGCAGCTGTCCTTGCCCTACTTGGGCAGGCTGCTGAAGCCACCGCGTATCCCTAACTCTGTGTTGGGAGGGGGTTGCCACTGAAATGCTGATCGCAGAAGTAGGCAAATGAGAGAAAACTGTTGACTACATCTGGAAAAAATGCTCCCTCCTCTTCCTCAGAAGTATGCTAGTTGTGGAGGTCTATAACTTGTAACCTTAATGGAAAAGTGCAGTATTTTCTTTTTAAAAAGCTTTTCTTTTACCTGTTGCTCAGTGGAAAGAATCATGCTGACAAGTTAAGGAAGCTCATACAAGAGGGAGGACAGGCCCATGCCTCCTCACGTGTGGCAAAGCCTGAAAGCTCTCCCAGCACACATTCTCCTGCGCTCCCTCTATAAAGCTGAAGGGAACAGTAAATTCTGGCCCATCCCTTTGATTAATGGCACCTTTAATAAGGGACTCCTGGGGGTTAACATTTGAGGTTCATACTTGTGGATGCTCCCAAACAACCGTGTCTGTTGCTTTTCTGAGAAGAAGCCTTTAGAAATTGTTCCCTTCAACATTAGTAGGCGTTACTGAAATCTTGTTTGTTCTTCCTTTGCTCCATCATACCCTGTCTGTTTTCCCTCTCTTCAGACTGGGGTGACAGAGCAATGCTGATCCTTCTGTGGAGACCTGCACTAGAGGGCAAGGTGACTAGCACCGAGAAATCATTGTGCCATCCAGGGGAGTGTGATGTGCCTGCAGTGCTTCAGCTCACACCCTAAACTCTGACTTCAGAGGGAGGAAACTAAGCTGACAGGGATGCTAGTAAAATACAATACCAGTCCTCTTCTGTGACTTTGAAGGAGACTGCAGAGCATGGGCTCTCCAGCCTGCTGGGTCAGGGATCACTGCCCTTCAGTGGGAGAAGTCCTGGGAGGTGGCTGCCAAAGGTTGTTCTCACAGTGTTGCAGAGTAGGGAGCGTTTGAGAGAACTAGGCAGAAGTATGCAGGCATGGAAGGACTGAATAGTTGAAGTTCAGGTCTTTTTCTAGCAGAGCAAACTGTTTATCAACTGCATGATTAGTCATCTTCTCTGTTTTCCCAGTTTATAGCTGGGCTATCCCTTCTCTTTGTCAAGTGAGTTATACAATCATGTTAAAAGAGCTTAACTATTTGTTCCCAGAGTGGCAAAATAGGTAACTTAGTCTTTGCACATTAATCAAGCAACAATTTGCAAGTTTGATTTTTTTTTGTTTGTTTGTTTGCCTAGTTTTTTTTTATCTGAGCTTAGTCTTGCACCTTTTCAATTCAAAAGCTTTTCCCTGGTCTCCAGAGGCAAGCCATGTGCATGCTGCTTGGACTCTTACATACCAGGTTGGTGTCCAGGTATGGGATGGCTGTTTTATTCCACTTCCTCCTTTTTGTTCAAGTCTCCTGAGCCCCAGATTTTTCAGGATCCCAGTAGCTGTTCCCTTCCCAGGCAAGGGATGTCAGTGCTTATTAGCCAGCCTTTTTACAAAGGACCTGAGTTGCCATTCCCAGTGTGCTTGCAACAACTGCTGTTAATACTTTTTGGGGTCTTGAAGGTCCCAGGACGTTTGCAAGTTATGTTTGAATAAACTCAGCTATGAGTTTTTATAGCTCGTAGTGATCCATCTGCTGAAAGTATGTGGTGCTCTTCTTTTTTTTTTTTTTCCCTCCAATACCAAATTACAGTGCAGACAAAAATCCTAATTAGAGAACCAGGCTAAAAAAAGAAAAGGCAGCTTTCCTTTGACTTGCTTTCCCAGGCTGCAAGCATGGGTCATGTCCTGTGTTGTAAACTGATGTGGCTCTTCTGACTTCACTAGCACAGCAGTGATTTATATCAGCTGATGCTTGGAGCCCAAGAATTTATTCACTTGGCTGTAACTGATATCAGACATATCCAGAACTCTCTATGGAAGGTGCCTGCTGCTGGGGAAGGGACGGATGTCCCAAAGACCTTAGAACAATGCAAGGAATTGTGGATGTGTTTGACTTGCTCCATAATAACTGAACCCTTGTACTCTAGCCAAGACCTGCATGAAGGAAGAGCTTATCTGATGATGCAGTTGGTCATCACTTTTTCAAGACTTCGTTTGTTCTGTGTCTGATTTAAACTACAGCGCTTGAGACAGTCTTTTGAATACTGCAAAAATATTTAAGTGTAAGCTATGAATTCAAGCAGAAACAAAGAATAGAAAAACTGAAAGTATTACATACTGTGAATGCATTACATTTTTCCTTGTACGATTACATGGAATAATGTTGTTATCAAATCTTCCTTTAATGTTTATCTCCCAGAGGCAGAGCATGTTGTTAAAACCAGGCTGTATTGGAGGGTCTTAAATGGAATGGAATAAATAGCAGAATTATAGTGACTTCTTCATTGTAAACCTGCCTGAAACAACTTGAACTTTGCAAGTGGGGCCTAACGATGTAAGTGGAGGTTTACCAAGTAACAGAGATTTCAAGATTTCTCCTCTTTTCCTTGGGCTGCCTACTGTAGTGTGTTTAACCTAGGAAGTTCAGAAGCTCAGGAAAGTGTTGCAAAATGAACATGCTGATCACCCTGTCAGTACTCTGTGCAGCACTTTTTTTCCAAGGAGAAGAGGTAGATCCAGGACCAAGATGCTGCAGTATGGCAAGCATAGTGAATGGAGTGATATTCAGCTCTAATTCTAACTGAGCACACCACCGTAAATCTAGACTAATGATTCTGGGAGAAGTGACGGAGGCTGCTGATGACCAGACCTTCACTTCCTACCACTTGCTAGGGTTTATAGAGTAATGGGCAGTAACATAAAATCTGCTGTAGCTCAAGTAGCAAAGGAGGTGAGGGAGGTGGTGAGCAGCCTGTCAGGCCTCATCTTGATCCCAGACTGAGGTCAAATGAACAGTTCTTCTGGGAAGCCTTTTTGTTTTGTCCCCATCACAGCTGGAGGTGTGTCCTCATGGTGGTTTGAGGTTTTGGACCTCTGCTTGCTTTGCCTGAGTTTCAGCAAGTGGCTTTGTTCCTATAAATCCGTAGTGTTGATGAAAATATATCCCTCAGCAGAACAATTCTCAAGGAAAACTTGAAGGAATTGGGGTTTGGAGCAATAACAAACTTAAGTATTCAGTCAAGACATCTGGAGTGTCAGTAGGGACTGTGAGTGTGCATGTGACTGTTGTGTGAGTACAGCTGCTGTTCCTGTGAACCAGAAAGTGTACTACTATTGCTCTTAAGCAACTTCCATAAAAATAACAGTAAATTAATGAATGTGGCGGCACTTGTCAATCCTAAAGCAGATTCTAGATCAAATTCACAATCTTCCCATCAATAAAGTTAACTTTAAAGCTTTCTAAAGGTTTAAATGGTTTCATGGTAAGTGTCCTACAGGTAGGAGACAGGTGATATGCTGGAGTGTCAGATGCTGGATCTGTATTTCAGGGCCTTACATAATAATTCAGCAAATGCCACAAATGAACTGCACTGTTAACTGAGGTGGCCTGAAGCTGGAGAAGGCTGATGTCTTCTGATACCTGTATTGTCTTGCATTTTGCGGTCTGGAAAACTCACAGCGTGTAAAAAGCCATTAAGTACCATCTTCAGGAACTTGCTGTAAGTGTCTCTT